ATAAATGTATTTTATTATTTTTTAAAAAAAATTGAAGTGGATGAGATCTATGCTGAATGTGGAGGCTACATCAGGACTGTGCCTGCTGAGAAACATGAATAACTGGAAGAAATGAGTTAAGGGCTCAATCCAAAGGCCACTGAAGCCTGTGGAAAGCCTGTTGATGAGCTGGTGGGCTCTGCCTTGGGCCTTACACCCTTCAGTACTGGAGACTCGAGCAGAAGGCTGCAAGCGGCCGGAGCCCCTCGCTGGACAGCATCCTCCAGCCGCAGCAGAAGGGCTGGGAGGTGCCCAGAGGCGAGGGATGGGGACTCTGGAGGTGGGAACAGTGCCTTGGATTTCTTACCTGGCTGATGTCAAGAGCGTGAGATTTGACGGGGGGAGAAGATGCTGGGCATCTTTTAAAAGCGCTTTTGCCCAACAGCAATGTCCATAAAGGGACGTGTGACCCCCCAGTACACACAAGGGAAAAGTGAGCCGAGGAAGAGCAGGCTCTGTCTCATCATTCCAAGCAAGTCTCAGCCTTTCTCAGCTTTAGCTGCCCTCACACGTTGCTGGGTGCAGGGCTGAGACCAGACTGTGCTGGGCCTTGTCTCCTGGTGCGGGGCACGATGCCTGGCATCTTGCTGCTCTCTGCCAAGAAGAACAATTGGGCTCCCTCTCTTGCCGAACAGAGCGTTGACCTGGTGTGTTCCAGCTGCACGGGAGCAGGTGAGGAGGCTGCTGAAAGCAAGGATCCTGCCCCAAACGGCAGCTGCCACCGTTGTGGGTTAGAGCTTCCAACCAAAACAGCAGCTGCCTGGTCTCCCCAGCAGTATCACCTGGCTGATTTGATCTGACACTGGACCTTCGCTTTTTCATTCTTTTTTGGAGGGGACTCAGAAGACAACTTTCCAGAACTGACACTGCCAGGAGCTCCCTCCTCTTTCCAGGCTGTTAATTTGAGTGGGAGGGCTTGTACATTTTGAGCCAAAGGTGCACGTGGGTGAGCAAAGTCCACAGGAGTTTCCAGGACAGCAGCTGGAGGTAGGTCAGTTTTAAACTTGGGTCAAAAGATGCTTCACCAACCCTCTGGTTTTGCTGTGCCCTCAAGAAGCATTTATTTTTCCTGAGCAAGTACCAGTGGTGTCAACCTGCCTCTCGCTTCCCATCTCACCTTTGCAGCTGCGGGGTTTCCTCTCCTCCTGCACAAGCACCCCGTGACCCTTTCCCTGTGCTTTGTGGTCCAGAGCAAAACATGAAACTTGCTTAAAAAGGGAGCCCTGCTTCCAAGCATTTTAACCAAAGACTATCCTGTTACCTGAGAGAAGAGCACAGCCTGTCAGCTGCAGTGCTTTGGGGAATCACGTCATCCCCACCACGCATCTAACCCACGCATCGCACTCGAACAGCATCGCTTTTTAATTTTCACCTGGTCCTTAGGGCTGGTGGTGTTTCAGCCTTTCCAAGGTGGATTAGGCTCTGACAAATGGGTCTTTGATCAGGTGGCTTCCTACTGCACTCAATAAATGTTTTCTCTACACTCAGCCTCTTCCTTTTCTTCAAAAAAAAAATCACTCTCCTCCAATACCCCCATCTGCAGCAGCAGATGAAGGACACATGCCAGAAGCGGATAATCCAAGCAGGGGCTTCTTTCTGCCAAGCATCAGTGCCCACTGCTCCTTCCCCGCCATCCCCTCCTGTGACTGCAGCTCCAGAGGCACCACCACAGCCCCAGTAATGGCTCATGAGACCAGTGTGGAGCTAAACCAGCCTCCTCAGAGGAAAGGTCCGCAGTGACCTTTGGCTCACGGGGGTGCAGAATGACTGTGCAAACGTTTTGCATTTATTAGACAAACGATGTAGGTGGACAAACTGATTCCCTTGTGAAGCCATGGAGGGAGGTGATCCCAGCCCAGGCGAGGCAGTTGCTCCTCTACAGGGGCAGCACCTTTGCCCCTCCGGAGGGTTTGGTGAGGTAGAAGGTGGCTGTGCCACTGTATTTCTCCTAGGAGACAAGACACGGTTTAGTGGTGTTGATAGGGCTAGGACAAAGGTTGGACTCGATGACCTTGAAGAAGGTCTCTTCCAACCAGAACTGTTCTATGATTCTAAGTGGTAAGCGCTGCGGGATGCCAGACCCAGTGGAGAAAGACCCTTCCAGCATCTGGCCCAGCCCCTGCTCTGACAGTGGCCATGTGAGATGCTTTTTGGGGACAGCACACTGTCCTGGGGACCCTTGCTCTATCCACAGCCCAGAGTAGGGAGGCTATCAACACATCCCCAAGATGACCCTTCAGCGGCCCCTTATGGACTGTTCCCTGGGACCTTCTCCTTTTTGACCCTGCTGACACAGCTAACCTCCACGGCTGCCGGTGACGGCAAATGCGCCACTGGTTCTGCACAGGGCTTCCTTGTCCCTGTTCTTCTCTTATCCAGTTTTTATTTTGGACAATTTGAGGGTCAGTTCCACGCTCACCCTATTTACCCCCTTTGCTGTTCTGCAATTCCTGGTGGCATTCCCTCTCTCCCAGCTTATCATCAGACAGCAGACGCACTGCCCTTTCAGTTTCTCCTTATTTCAGTCACCTTTCTCTGCCCCTTCTTTATCCCCCTCCCACTATTTCCAGGGTGCATCATGACCTCATATAGCAGCAAAATGAGGTTCTGCCTCATTCAGGGCCTCCATTTCCTGACACCCATCTTTTGATGGTGTTTTCAGCTACCAGAGCACACTGAGCTGCTGATTTAGAGAACACTGATGATAGCACTAAGATTGGGATGTAAATGTCAGTGTTAAGCTCAGCATTGCTTAAGCTTAGCTTGTATTATTTTTCCC